ATGTATCTTCTTACCAGCTATCCTTTGTTACAAACAGATATAATACTTACTTGTGAGATTACCTGATCATTACTGGCCTGGACTGACCTGACTACTTTATTGATTGCTGTCTGCTTCGACCCCTGTCTAGACCTAACTACTCACTTGATTGCCACCTGCCTTGACCCCTACCTGGACTTGACTGTTCTCTTGCCAATCTCCCAGTGTACAGTCTCTACATCATTTCCTGTCCTTGCTTAAAATCCTTTGGGTTGTGACTTGGTATCAGACTGAAACAAAAAGCCCTGGGGGCCATAAGGACTCCCAGCCCACCTCCACCATTAGGAGCTGTGCTGAAGACAAGCCAGTGCTTAGATTCAGCACATCTGGTGAGTCTATGGGTTGTTGCCATAACACATTCTTTAAATGTGCCTTAGACTACCTTCTCCACACTATTCCACTCTGGGTGGTGTGCCATATAGCTATAAATAATTACCACAGCAGTACCATATTATTATACAGAAATCATTTTTATCACTGGGACTTCTTAATTCCACCTCATTACAATGAACAGGTACACTTTTGTTGGTTACATATTAAGTAGGCAATACAGAATGCTGCATCTAGCAGTCCAATCTGGTTGGCTTGTGGCAAATTAGGTAGAGCCAGTAATTAAGGTCTAACTAAGGTAAATTAATCTCAACATTCTTTTTGGCCTAGACCCCTCAAAGCTCATCGCTTTCCTTCTGTACAGTGACTAAAGTTATTGATAGTCAAAAACCATACAGCACAGATATAAATCCAGCAGCTACTTTAACATAATCCATGCAAAATAACATATTCATTTTGTGCTGACATAACCTGTCATTATATCAAAGATGGCTTGAGTATTGGAAACTCTATGCAAATTTGCTATCTATTAACCATGAGTTTTCTGCTATTAGTGTTTTGATTTAATACGTCTGCAGATAAATGATATGTAATATAGTTTCAAGAACCCATTTACTTCATTGGACAGAATGCAAGTAACCTTGTTTATGGTTGCTTTTAAAAAGTCACAGTTGTTTATTGAACATTTTTGTAGCAAGACACATCGTCTCAGCAATAGAATATACCTGGAGGCCTGCATAAATTCTCATTCTCAAAGCTAGTTCTGCAGAAACTTCACCAGAGATATATCACTGTAGCATACCATTTTTCTCTACAAAATGCCTATGGGTATGCTTAATCAAATGCATTTCTCCTAATGTTTAATATAATCTAATAAATTGCAGTGAGAGGTTTGATACATTGCGCCAATAAGATAATTCAATGAATTTTAATGACAACCTTTTTCCTCATAGTAAAGCACATTTCTCTTCAAAGAGCGCTATGCACATGAGTCCGTGTTCCTGGGGATGTGGGAGCCCAGGTGCTATTGAATTATTGCCTACTATTTCTTTGCAGCTTGTAAAGTGTGTTTTATTTAAAATACACTTCAAAGGTAGCCAGGGAGATTTTAATATTTTTTATATATAAAATATACACTTAAAATAGTCTGTTTTAAATTATTAAGAATAAGTATGAGTTATGAATATTTAAAATATATAGTTTAACAAACGTTTATTACAAAGTGTTTACAGCAATTTTGTACTAAAACTAAAGACACTCAGCTGTCACCAGCAGTTCATGTCAGACACAAAGATGTACCTTCACATACCTATAGATGTTCTGAGCAACCCAAAATCCCTGACACTCCTGAAGCTGTTTTGGCCATATCTTGACTGTAGGAATTGAAATTGAGCTTGGGCCCACCTTTGACAAAATAAGGAGCCCTGAAACCCAAGAAGCTGTCCTAATCATATACTGACTTCAGGAACTTAAGGTGAGCTCGGGCCCACTTTTAGCAGAATAAGGAGCCCTGAAAACCCAAGAAGCTCTTCTAATCATATACTGACTTCAGGAGCTGAAGATGAGATTGGGCTCACCTTTGACATAAGGAGGCATGTTACTGTGCTGGACAAATCCACTGCGCAAGAGCAAGGCATGGGAAGGGTCAGATTTGTACAGTAAAGTGTACAGTGTTTTGAACACCCTGTACTTCTGCCCCACATCTGCTTCTCCCTTACACTTGCCTACATTTCCCACATTGAAAAAAAAGCACAAAATTGAAAGAAACAAACTTTATTTTTTTTGCATAAAACTTTGCAATGCTTTGTACCAGATTTATAACGCCAGTGTAATTCTAATGGGGACAAATTATAGAATAAAATATGAGTAACATGTATTTTTTTTAAACTAACACTTATTAAATTAGAAAAAAAAGTGTGTTTTCTTTTAGTTTTTCTCATTTTTTTTTTGTTTATGGATTGAATAAAAAATAATTTTTATAAGTCATTAAAAATGTATTACTTAGTGATTCTGGCATGAAGTCTCTTGTTCAGGCACTTTCTCTTATAGGATGACAGCTGGTCTCCAAGTTTTTCCATCATCCTGTTACATGAACCTATGGAGACTACAGTCAGCCGGGCCAACACTCATTGCAGAGGAATGGTCCATAGATTTTTACTATTAGGAAGCAAGTCCAGAGCAATGATTTGCGATTATAAATGTTTTATATGATATACCTTGCTTTAACATGCTAATTGTCATCCAGGTAAAGTATATCTATGATCAAATTTTAAATCATAAATTCATTTCCACATTGAATTTTATTTATTTATATCTCACTTCTATTGATCTGAACAATCTGGAAATTTGTAAACTTACATTTCCTTCTTTGAATTGTGTGATGCATATTCACTATGCATTGTGAATGTGTACTGCTTTGTCACACATTTCACAGAGCCTGCTGTACGAACAACAGTGGTGCAGAGAGAAGTTTGGGAAGCAGAAACAGTACAGTACAGGAATCATTGCTTGCAGGCAGCAAGGTACCATTGGATATGCAGTCCTTAGAAACCAAATGTAAACAAAGAAATGGGAAGAGTAGAAGCTGCATTTTTTAGTTTTGTACCTAGTCTAGTTGACATCTGAGGTAGAATATTTTTTGACACAATGCTCCTTTATAGGTCATTGTATAGTTTTCTCAGAACTAATAATTATCAGAAATAAAACAGACGACAGTAATGTCAGTCTCTCCCATTCTCCCTCTCCCTCCCTCATATTTTAGTATACCTTTTCATGTGACAAAACTGAAGAAATGACACTTTGCTACAATGTAAAGTAGTGAGTGTACAGCTTGTATAACAGTGTAAATTTGCTGTCCCCTCAAAGTAACTAATCACACAGCCATTAATGTATAAACCACTGGCAACAAAAGTGAGTACACCCCTAAGTGAAAATGTCCAAATTGGGCCCAATTTTGTGTGGCTACCATTATTTTCCAGCACTTCCTTAACCCTCCTGGGCATGGAGTTCACCAGAGCTTCACAGGTTGCCACTGGAGTCCTCTTCCACTCCTCCATGACAACATCACGGAGCTGGTGGATGTTAGAGACCACCTTGCACTCCTCCACCTTCCATTTGAGGATGCCCCGCAGATGCTCAATAGGGTTTAGGTCTGAAAACATGCTTGGCCAGTCCATCATCTTTACCCTCAGCTTCTTTAGCAAGCAGTGGTTGTGGAGGTTTGTTTGGGGTCGTTATCATGTTGTTATACTGCCCTGCAGCCCAGTCTCTGAAGGGAGGAGATCATGCTCTGCTTCAGTATGTCACAGTACATGTTGGCATTCATGGTTCCCTCAATGAACTGTAACTCCCAGTGCCGGCAGCACTCATGCAGCCCCAGACCGAGACACTCCCACCACCATGCTTGACTGTAGGCAAGACACACTTGTCTTTGTACGCCTCACCTGCTTGACGCCACGCACGCTTGACACCAAATAAATTTATCTTGGTCTCATCAGACCACAGGACATGGTTCCAGTAATCCATGTCCTTAGTCTGCCTGTCTTCAGCAAGCTGTTTGTGGGCTTTCTTGTGCATCATCTTTAGAAGAGGCTTCCTTCTGGGATGACAGCCATGCAGACCAATTTGATGCAGTGTGCGGCCTATGGTCAGAGCACTGACAGGCTGACCCCACCCCTTCAACCTCTGCAGCAATGCTGGCAGCACTCATATGTCTATTTCCCAAAGACAACCTCTGGATATGACGCTGAGCATGTGCACTCAACTTGGTCAACCATGGCGAGGCCTGTTCTGAGTGAAACCTGTCCTGTTAAACCACTGTATGGTCTTAGCCACAGTGCTGCAGCTCAGTTTCAGGGTCTTGGCAATCTTCTTATAGTCTAGGCCAGTGATGGCGAACCTTTTTGAGCCCGAGTGCCCAAACTGCAACCCAAAACCAACTTATTTCTTTCAAAGTCCAATCTTTAACAAACTCGTGCCTCCACCTCCGCAACATCGCCAAAATCCGCAAACCCCAGAAACCACTAAACAGCTCATCCACTCCCTCATCATATCACGACTCGACTACTTCCCTCCTCACTGGCCTTCGCCGCTGGCTATCCCCTCTTCAGTCCATCCTGAACAAGACTCATTCACCTTTCCAACCGCACTGTCTCCGCCACCCCCCCCTCTGCCAATCCCTCCACTGGCTTCCGATGCGCAACGGATCAAATTCAAAATCCTAACGCGACGTACAAAGCTGTCCACCATACTGGATACATCACTGACCTAATATCCAAGTACCGCCCAGCACGCACACACTCCGCTCCTCACAAGACCTCCTTTTCAGTTCCCTGGTCTCCTCCTCTCATGCCCGCCTCCAGGACTTCTCCAGGGTGTCACCCATCCTCTGGAACTCCCTGCCCCAACCCATCAGATTATCACCTACTCTCCTCTCCTTTAGGCGCACCCTGAAAACCCATCTCTTCAGGGAAGCCTACCCCACCCCCTGCTACTTGCCGACCTCCTCCACTCTTCCTACCACTATCACAGGTGCCACCACCAGAGTAAGCTCGACTGGGCCCAGTACAGGGTATTGGTATGACCAGAGACTGCTGACACAGTACAGGGATGACCAGAGCGCTTTATAAATACTGCAGACATAATAATACAGGGAATACCAGGTGCCAACACTGCAATGACCAGTACAGCTTTTGGGGATGAAAAAAGAGACTGCGGACTGCGTAGGGCTGCCTCAGAGACACTGGTTTAGTACAGGGATGACCAGAGACTGCGGACACAGTACAGGGATGACCAGAGACTGCGGACACGTACAGGGATGACCAGAGACTGCGGACACGGTACAGGGATGACCAGAGACTGCGGACACAGGTACAGAGACTGCGGACACAGTACAGGGATGACCAGAGACTGCGGACACAGTACAGGGATGACCAGAGACTGCGGACACAGTACAGGGATGACTGCAGAGACTGCAGACACAGTACAGGGATGACCAGAGACTGACCAGAGACTGCGGACACAGACAGGGATGACCAGAGACTGCGGACAGTACAGGAGATGACCAGAGACTGCGGACATGACCAGGCGGACACGTACAGGGATGACCAGAGACTGCGGACACAGTACAGGGATGACCAGAGACTGCGGACACAGTACAGGGATGACCAGAGACTGCGGACACAGTACAGGGATGACCAGAGACTGCGGACCACAGTACAGGGATGACCAGAGACTGCGGACACAGTACGGGGATGATGACCAGAGACTGCGGACACAGTACAGGGATGACCAGAGACTGCGGACACAGTACAGGGATGACCAGAGACTGCGGACACAGTACAGGAGATGACCAGAGACTGCGGACACAGTACAGGAGATGACCAGAGACTGCGGACACAGTACAGGAGATGACCAGAGACTGCAGACACAGTACAGGAGATGACCAGAGACTGCAGACACAGTACAGGAGATGACCAGAGACTGCGGACAGTACAGGGGATGACCAGAGACTGCGGACAGTACAGGGATGACCAGAGACTGCGGACACAGTACAGGGATGACCAGAGACTGCGGACAGTACAGGGATGACCAGAGACTGCGGACAGTACAGGAGATGACCAGAGACTGCGGAAAGCACAGGGATGACCAGAGACTGCGGACAGTACAGATGACTGCTGACCTTTGAGGAGGGAGGGGGAGCGGGTACCTGAATTTGACAGGTACCCGCTCTTACTTCCGCAGAGTTTTTTTTTTTTCATCTTACCTGTTCCTTTATCCAGCCGCGCGCTGTCTTCCCGGCTTCTGTAGTGTGGGCGCTCTCGTCGGACAGCCGGATGCCCAGTGCGCATGCGCGAGAAGCGCTGCGCTTTGTGATTGGTCCGGCGGCTTCTGGGATCTGTCATGTGTGTCCCAGGTACCGCCTTACCATTCACAAAGAGCACTGCTTCTTGCGCATGCGCACTTGGGACCCGGCTGTCTCGCACACTACAGAACCCGGGAAGACAGAGCGCCGCTGGATAGAGGGACAGGTACGGTCCCACTGCAGAGCTGAGCGGCCGGCCCGGTATTCTGACACGGCGGCGGTGGAAATACCGGACCGGCCGCTCTATATTCGCTCCATAAGACGCACTGACATTTTACCCCCTTTTTTGGGGGAAAAAAAGTGCGTCTTATGGAGCGAAAAATACGGTATTCTCCTGGCGTGCCCACAGATAAGGCTCGGCGTGCCGGCTGTGGCACGCGTGCCACGGGTTCGCCATCACTGGTCTAGGCCATCTTTATGTAGAGTAACAAATATTTTTTTCAGATCCTCAGAGAGTTCTTTTCCATGAGGTGCCATGTTGAACTTCCAGTGACCAGTATGAGAGAGTGAGAGTGCCACTCGAAACAAGGATAGAGCAGTAGCAAGATACAGTATATGATACAAAAACATGATGGTAAGGCTGACCTCTTAAACTTTTGGATTATTGACAAATATAATCTGGGTCCTAGAAAAGGAGACCTAGATAAATGTCTTCTGAAACTTGAAGCACAATGGATTTTCCGTTTAGGCTCAATGGCACCTTATTGTATAAATGAAGGATTTTTGGAGAGGTCTTTACTGCATTTTTACAGTGCATCATTTGAATTCTTCAAGACAGTGAGGTATTTTTGTCTGGATATGGTGATGTATGGAGCTTGTCCATGAGAGGCTGACATTTAAGCCCATGGATAAGTGTACCCATATTGCATATCTGTAGCAAGATAGATTATACTATCTAATTAGTTTTGTCTATGGGGTAACTCCATTTCCTTAATAGAGATTATATGTTCAAGCTGATAGGCTTATGATCAAACTACAGTGTCTATTTTTATGCCGTCACTTCATCTAAAACGGTATGGTATTTGCTTTGGTCTAGTGTTATTAACCATTTGAATGTAAGGTAAATAATTGCAATGGTATCCAGTCATATTGTTGTGTACAGTACATTCCACTCCAACAGGCATTAATTACAGCTGAGAATACATTTTTTATATGTTTGAATAAAGGTTATATATTTTTAGATTCATCAATTGGCCAGATGGTGCGTAGGAAAACGCATCCTCATCCAGTATAGATCAGTCATTGTTATAATATGTAACAACAAACAGGCTGGCAAGAAACAGGCAATTGCAACAATATGCAACTAAAGGGCAATCATGACCATACATGGACAACAAATGTGCAATTGTGACTGTACTAGGGCAACAAAATGGCAATTATGACAATATGGGGGCAAGAAATGGATAATGCAATCACTATGACAACTTTTGGGGCCCTGATAATATTGAACAAAGCCATTTGGCAAATAATGTTCCTTACATTGGTAGTTAGTGGGGAAAATGTTCTTTACGTTGGTGCTCACTGGAAGGATCTCACTGGATCTCACTGACTATTGTGGGGTGCATTGTTCCTCCTGTTGACCACCGATGTGAAGAGCATGTTTTGCATTGCTGGTCAACCAGAAATAGAAGAGAGCACATACAAATTAAATATATGTCTGTGACTTTACCTACAGTACATCAAGATGCAGGAGGCCCCATTTAGTGCAAAGGAGACTCTGGCTCAACCAAACAACATCAGCTACAGGATGATGCAGGTACCACCAGCAGGAAATCAATATGCCTGGCTGTCTTTCACTCACAGCCTGCATCGTGGTTTGCTCTTCAGAGGGTTAGAGTAAATCTTAACGATCCCCAAAGAGATCCCTAAAGAAACTTACTAATTGCTCTGTACACAAGATACAGAAGCCACATTTGGTTGATTTACAGTATGTGTTCATAACAATCAACAAATGTATTTTGAAAAAAAAACTATTATTAGTACTTTAATATGTCTTTGTATATATTTCCTGCAATCTGCATAGCAGGATTCAGAGGAGAGGCTATTCTCTTTCCAATCAACAATTTGTTGGTTTGCTCAGTGCTTTCTAACACTCTGAATAATAAAAGTGTGGGAATATGAATGGCCTCTTTAGACTGATACTGCTCTTTTATTTTCCAGCCAAGCAGGTTGGGTAAGTTCAGTTACCTGACTGTGCATCTGACTGGGATACCTGAATCACAAGACTGGTTGAACAAAATTAGAAAATCTTTGCAAGGTAAGCCAATCCATATATACTGTATATTTGTTAAATTCAACTTCATAGTAATTCCTAAGTCCAGGGCTTAATGAACTTTAGTTTGTTTGGACCAAGCTGGTCCAAACAAACAATGTTCTTCATTAACACATGCAGCAGCTGTATAAACTGGATATAGCATCAGCTGAATGAATACAAGGTCCACTGTTCCACTGTTCCACCACAGCCAATCATAGGAAGCAGCAAACATCACAAGCTTATGTACCTTCTTGCGTGTCAAGTTTTTGTCCTTTTTTAAATTGTTTTGCTGCTGCGCCTTTTTCACACAACAAACACTTTTTTTTTAGGTGTCATTACCAATGAAAGGCACGACAACCTAATCCAGATGTACAAGTAACAAACATAACTTTATTATATTTAAATCACTCATTGTAAAAAGAAAAACAAAATTAGTGACAATATGTGTATGTGCAGAAAATAAGTGACTTCACTTCCTGTGTGTAAATATTATAGGTAGCTGTCACTGACACTACCCAAGTCAGAGGCTATGTTCTCTCTTCAGTGACCAGTCATGCAAAGAAAAGCCTCATGTGACATAAGTGTAAGGTTTTCACTTTGGAAGGGGTTAGCAGCTTCATTTCCTGATAGTACAGGCAAGGCTGAAATGTCCCATTAAATAATCCCATTTCCACTAAAACCATTGTAAAATATTAGTGGTGTTTGTTTAATGTAATGAGCATGAACAATATCTTAGCTTAGTATATGTAGATTTTTACAGCATCGTTTTATATGCCATTTGACGCATGACTGCCAAAATATTCCAACTGGAATTGATTGCCATGCTGTTTTGGAGTTCTAAGGGCACTTTAAAGGTAGAAAAAAAAGAAAACACGATTGATGAATTGCTCTCTTTTAGATTTTTGACAAAGAGCATTCTCAAAGGTTTGCTCTTATTTATTGCCAGCATTGTTAGTTCTGTATGATAATAGGAACACATTACACCATCATTTCGCTGTTTGTAAAATGAAAATAAAATCTGAAATGGTACGAGTCTCAGATTCAACAATCACGTGGGGTTTGCTGCAGGTATGGCTTTCTAGCATTGCAGAACATTGACATAATGGGGATAACCTTGTTTACAATCGTACATCAACAGTCATTACTATTAATGTATCATCGAGAGAGAGCATTCAATAACTTTAATAGTAGAATATATCTTCAGGGCTTCAGAAATTGGCTACAACTCAAAGCAGGTTTTTCAGAAAAACACCTGAGAGATGCAGCAATGTAATATTTCATTTTTCTTCACATCATGCCTATGGGTATGCTCAATAAATGTATAACTTTATGGAAAGAAATGTCGTTCAGTGTTTTTTTTTTTTTTTGTTGTAGGTCATTCCTGAAATAAATTAAATGCATTTAATGCATTAAAAAATAATTACTATATCTAGTTTACAGATTTAAAGATTTTTCCTGAAAATCATTATGTTAATAGTGTGTATAGACTAACATTTTAGCCTGTGTTTAATGATAAAAATAATTCTCATATTATTGATCAATATGGGTCCTGATGTGAAGATTAAATGCTTTTCTGGCAGTCCTTTGTGTTTGCACAAATGTCAAATCTTACTACTGCCTCTTCCGCACCAGGAGAGGCGGTAGTAAGATTGGCATAGAACACAGAAAGATACTGGAGGAACTTAAAGTACTGTGGTGGGAGATTCTCAAATGGTAAAGTAGCCCACGTATATAGAGCAAACACCTTAAGTTCTTCTGCTGGCTCATTTGCTTATATTATCCTCAAAGTACTTAAGGATTCCAAAAACACATCTTCTGCATTATGCAACTTTTGAATACAGCTTTGGAAACTTTTTTGATCTACTTCTCTCTCTGTCCACACCTTCCAGTAGAGTATTGAGGCACCTTCTTCATGTATTGACAACCACAATCGATAACCCCCTTCAATAGAACTTGTAGGATTGATCAATTGGAGATGCTATTGCTGATTTGTTTTTGAAGATGCCCACTCTTGAGCTGGAATCCTTATACTTCTCTTCACTACTCAGTGTATTCATGAACTTGGGATAAGCATGCATACCTGGTAAGGAAACTTGTGACATGCACACGCTTTACTACTCTGCGAGTCACTTGCCCAAAATAAGGGTGTGTTCCCAAGGGGAAATACCAACAAATTGATTTAATAGGCAGAAATAGGCTGTTCTCTATTCTATTCCATAAAGCAGCCTAAGTAAGAATCCTCATTTTATTTCACTTTTATGCTTTACTTTATTGCAATATGTCTTCA